ACTAATACATATTTAACGATAACTCGACGCACACGACATCGTACGCTGACTTCGCATTTTATTATCATTATCAGTGCAGCAACGAATATCAAGCGTTGATGAAGTCATCATCCTACGGCTGGATTATTTTTAACCCTCATGAACTCCCGGCACGTAAATTCGAATTCACTCACCGCCAATCGACTATTTCACTGTTCTTTATCCTCATATTCAATCAGCACCACAGAGCAATTACTGTTATACTCTATTTTCACTATATTTCAAATCGCTCATACGAACATGTTATTTTATCATTCGAACAGTCACTACATAAATTCATGTTAAATTTTTTCGAACGCTTACTAATGTACTGATAATCACATGCTAGCATCCCTATTTTTGTCCGCACTTTGACAATATTCATGTTCCTTTTTACATAAGTATGACACTTTCGCTTAATACGCTCACCCCTCACATGACACTGTAATTCATCAGGTATTGTACCATTTTTTCCCACATTTATACGTTATCCACATACCGCTTCAGTGTTATTTTTCGAAAACAGACATTTTTTTATAAATGTGCTATTTTCTACAAGGGGGCTATGTAGTACCAGTTCATATGTTAGGCCCATATACTTTATTCTAGTTACTGGCCAAGCCAATTCACCTGTACATTGAGTCATCTTTTGATCTTGTTAATCATTTGCTTATTAACCTTGAGTACTTTTTATATGAGCGCATATGTGTACACTTCGTATCTTATTCATCATATGTCTGTCACTCATTTTTGCCTGCCTATAAATGTTAGTTAACGCTTGCTTAAAATGAGTTGGCTTCCCAGCCTATCTCCATTGCGCATGATCTTTGCTTCGTTCCGCTCTCATCTATTCACCTCATCACTCTGATTCCCTGGCCAGACTAATGAGTGTAGAAATTATATGTATTCTAAGTCCATTCTCTTATTTGACGCATTTAACTCCGTTGTTCACCAACGCGGAATAAAGTCATTTATTATATACGAGTATAGACAGAATCAGATTTACGCCGACAATATAATTGGATACCTCGCCGTACGAGCACGACGCCACAACAAGCACAACAAGATGAACACCGGATTCATAGAAGTAGTTAATTTAGTGGTGGTAGTATATAAAGAAAGGTTGTATATAAGGATATAGTATAGGAAGGAAAAACGTTATGAAGCAATTTTAATCTCAAGGTTTAAGGGGAGATAGAGAGTGTATACACCTACGCCATTGTGATCGATTCTGAGCCATGTCACCCACAGTCTCCAACCATTGGTTACGATAGTCACGCGGACCCCAACCAGGTGGTCTGCATCTGCCGACATGGCTCAGACTAGAAGTTAGTGACATCAAGCACTGATGCCACGTTTTGGTTTGGCCGCCCCTAACTCTCTTCCAACGATCCCCTACACTAGTCAACATTGCGCGTCGTGGTAATTGGTGTTCAGGCATACGTAACACGTGGCCCAACCATCTCAGTCGATGAAGATTCATCACCTCATCAACTGATTTACCATCATTCCCAAATACCCTGCGTCTAATCTCACTATTACTTACCCGGTGATCCCAGCAGATGCGAGCAATATTTCTAAGGCATCTGTGGTCAAATACTAGTAACCTACGAGTATCTTCTACTCTTAATGGCCACGTTTTGCAGCCGTAAAGTAGAACAGAGCGAACTGCTGCGCAGTATATTTGTCCCTTAATTGATAGACGGATATCTTGTCTTCGCCATAAGTGACGTAAGTTGGTAAAAGCCAAACTCAAACGACGAGAAAGTTATTCCCAACAATAGGTCTATCATGAAATTAAACGAAAATAAAGATAGTGGACAGTCTTTTTGGACACCACGCCAGGTTGCAAAATCACATGACAGTTCGCCATAAGCTCTGACTCGAGTGGTAGAGTTCAAGTAAAGAGCCTTCACAAGCTTCATGTACTTTTGAGATACACTTTCCGATGAGACACTGTCACAGAACCTTTCGATCTACAGAATGAAATGCTGCTTTTAAGTCAAGAAAAACTATCATTTTCGGACGCCGATAAGCATGTCTGTGCTCTAAAACCTGACGAATGGTGAATATGTGGTCGATGCAGCCACCACCAGGTCTGAAGCCTGCCTGATTTTCTCGTATTTGCAGTTAACAAGTCTTTGTTAGATGTCCAATTATTGGAGCTAGTATTCTAAATTATATATTGATCAAAGTCATCTTTCTATGGTTATCACAGGATGATTTTGGCCCCTTCTTATATATTGGGACAATCAGTGATTGCGACCAGTCACGTGTTTTAGCTAAAATATTAGTCAACCTAATTGCTAAAACTAGACAATCATCCTTAAAGACCTCTGGAGCCAATCTATCTGTACCAGATGCTCTTCCTCGTTCCAGATTAACTATAGCCTTTTTAATTTCATAGTCGGGGGACCTACTCCAATGTTTCATTAAGAATGTCTGAGAATGGTGTGTAACTGTAGAATAGCTGAAGGCCACCTGAACTGCTCCTTAAAGTGTTCTGCCCATCGTTTTAAACATCTAGTATGAGTCTTGTCGTTTTCCGGAATAGTCTTATTTACACTCCTTAATTCGTTTTTTCTTATTAGTCTGAAAAGCTGTCTGGTGTTACCTGCAGCCACTGCCTTTCCCATCTCTTTTGCTTTTGTTGCTCAAATTGCTCACGGTTTATTCTGTAGACTTTTGGTTAACCTAGATCTAATTTCTTTAGGCTCATCATCATGTTCAGAGCCTGATGCGATGAGTTTACGAGAATCCATCAGTGCAATAGACTTAAAAAAGAACCCATTGGCTTTATGTAACCTTTTGATTTAAATTACTAATTGATGTTACTGCTGTTCGTAAATCTTTTCAAGCAACATCTGGGTCAGCCTCGTTTACAGAACTGCCTCGATATAAACTCAGTTGTTCCTGGAACTTAGTTTCGGCTTTCTCGTCCTCCAGTTAAAGGTGGTCTTAGTGACCTGAGGTGACCGCAGTGCTCAATGGACAACTGCCTGAGGCCGGTCACACAAGACCTTTTGTGAGTAATTTTCGTGTTAGCTCCGTACTTGTTGGGACCTTAGCCCCGGAGTCGGGAATTCGTAGGATAAGGTGGGGTGTGCATTTTTACGGTCGACCTTTTCTAACCCCACCGTTCCTTGTAAGAAGGTAGCATTGCTGTTATTCTAGTTGTCTAGAGGAAACATCACTGCCGTCACACTTCTGTACAGTCAGAAGTACGACTTCGCCCTCGGACATGACCCGTTGATTTAATTTATTATTTTTCATCAAGTTCAACTACACCAAAACTGTACCGAAACATGTGTGAATACTCGCATTACTTCAGTTTTTTATGACAAAAAAAGGAAATTACCGGATATGAAAACTTAAACAAACTTGTAGTCATCTGGTTAGCACAGCAGACAATCATGTCTGTTGGAGACATTTCAGTTCTATCCTAGTTATTTGTACTCAGTAATATAGCTAATTTGCACCCCGCTTGTAGCCCTTCTAGGGTTACTGCCGGTCCCGATCCCGGGTACAGGAGGAGGGTTGTGTATGGTGTCAGGAACCCAAATCCGTAGAAAACAACCTTGCTGAAAATTGCTAACCAGAAAAAAACCAATCAAACCATTCAAACACTGCCTTGAGGGTGAAAGAATTTTTATTCTGATGAACTATGATGCCTCATAGCGAAAGCCGATATTCTTCGGAAGTCACAAGGCCGATGCTGCTTCTAACAATCAAAGCAACAATTAATATAAGTACACATAATAACTGGAGAATGTGAGGGACTGGAATGACCAATCAAATAGCTGCGGAAATGAGATACAACTTGGCGGTGCTTGCGATAAGTTAGACTCATCGGACCCAAACTGGACAGAAAGGATTAAATTTGAGAGAGGTGCTGTTGTACTCTGATTATGAAGAAAATGCGTCACACAAACAAGAAATTGCACTGACGCTATTCAAAGCATAGAAAGCATTTACAGGGTGGAAATCCTACGGATCCAGAATCATCAAAGCATTCTTCAAAACAAAGGAGGGAATCACAATGAATGGGCCGTATGAAACATCACCATACAGAATGAATCTCTATCGAAACCCTGGGCAGGATTCAAGAAAGGAAGAACAAGACAGCAATTAACATCAGATAAACAAGAGTAGTGAAAGTCAAGACACAGACCAAATAAACAGAAGCAAACAAGCAAACGGAGAGAAGCATTAGAGCTAATAAGCAGAAATACGTGTAAAACCTAGCAATGACAGAGGAAAAAGGTGAAAGAGAAGGAAATATGAGACAACTGTATGGCAAAACAAAGAAACTAGCAGGGAAATATAGTAAACTGGGGCGACCAGTTAAGGACAAAGAAGGCAAGCCTATCACTGAGACTCAAGAACAGAGGAACAAGTGGGTAGAACACTTTGAAGATCTTCAGAACGGACCAACTTCGCTGTACATTGAAGCAGCACCTATAGACCATTCCATAGTTGTTACTCTATCAACAATCGAAGAAATCAACATGCCCAATGAGGAAAAGATGCTGGAGGAGGATATGACATACACTGAGGAAATCAAACTGCATTAAGAAACAAGTCCTAACTTGGGATCTTGAAGGCAAGAGTAAAGGAGGCAGATTAAAGAACACATTACGCCGAGAATCAGAAGCGGACATAAAATGAATGAATAGCACTTGCAAGCAACAGGGAAAGAGAGCCTAGAACAGAGTTGATTGGAGAATCCTAGTCGGCGGTCTATGTCCTACGAGGGCTAAAAAGATTAAGTAAGTACGTGGATAATCCTAAACTTTTATTAGCGTACATTTCTATCTTTAGACTTTTGTTCATCTCAAAGGATTAGTTCACTGACCTATATTTGCGAGACATGTCATGTGATCCAAATACATATCACTCCATATATACTCTTAGTTCATTCAGTCACTGTATTGCTTGGATGTCTGTCTGATTATACAAATGAAAATTGAATACTATAATAATTTTCATCTAGTTAATACAATTTGGATCATTGAGGTTATTAATACGAACAGGACAGTTAAGAACGTTTAGATTCAGCTGTTTAATGGGTTCACCCAGAGTTCCTCAAATAATATTCTATCGGGAGATGTTTCAGATTTTAGAAAATGGAAATATTTCATTATTAAACAGGATAGACGAGGATTGAGTAAGACGCTAATATGTGAATAAAGAACAATGAGTTGATAATGAATGAAAATCACCAGAATAACAAGAAAAATAAAAATGTAGATAATTTATTTTGTAGAAATGTGTAGAAAAAACAAGTTACGAATACACGATTACCGGGTTCGTTAATCAAATGATAAAAAGTTTATAAAAATAACAATGAGAAACAATTACATGTAAATCTTATTAAATTGGTGTGGGAGAAATTTCAATTGTAGGGAAACTTAAAGGTCGACGGCGGCGGGAAGAGTGTCGAGTATTCACTACAGTACCAGTCATATTTGTAACCGGAACATTCTCCTTTTCCTTGTCATGTTGTTCTAGGTCAATATTCCAAAAACCATCAGGTGTCGATGGTGATGTTCGACTGACTGATTTTCTACGCGATTTTTGAGCAGACTGCAGAAAATTATTTATAATGAATGAGTTATGAGAGGTTGGTAGAGAAAAGGTATTAAGTTAGATAGTCCATGGAGTCGAAAAAGTAGTCCAAAAGACAAATGATATTTGAAATTAATCTGAACCAATGGAACTGAGATCAGTTTCAGATTAAGAAATTAAATAGTCAAATTAATAACACAACCTGAGCAATTAAATACACATTTGTGATGTATTCACTCATATTTGTTGTTGTAGCTACAAATTATTAGTGGTGATTTCTAACCGGTAACAACACGATTAACAGTTGCGTGTGACTAAACTGCTGAGTTACAGATCTATTAAGAGTTTGAAATGGATGTATCTTTCTTGAATGAAGCAAAGGTCGAGTGGTTTTTGGTGATATAAATAAATTGAAGATTGTTAACTATATAACTATTCTGTGCGCGAAAAAATATTATGATAGCTGCAACGTCATTTTTATTCGCTATAGCAGAACAATTACTAGCCATCTACAAGAACCCGTACTTACGACGTGACTGAAGAAAAAACAGTAGCTCAAGATAACACTTACAAGATCATTTTATTAGTTATTGTGATGACAGTTACACATTCAGACTAATATCTATACGTAAGACAGAAGAGATAATGCTAATAATATAATCGTTCAGTGGTACTTTAAGTAAAACAAGTGTTTAGGTTGGTAAGTATGTGGAAAACAGAAATGAATTGACATCATTTTCTTCTATACAAAATAAATACTTTGTAAGAGAATCAAGTTTATCCATCAGTTTAACGAAACATGAACACGAACTATTTATGAATGTTACACCAACTATTATTGAACCTACACTGATATTAATAACATTCTCTAACGATCATTATCAACTGATCACAGTAATTTTATACAAAGCAGTGACCCCATAAAAAAGGAATGAAATAATTCGATATCGTTCCTAGATGGATATGTAATAATTTACTTCTGATCATAATAATTTTTCTATACAAACAAGCGATATCGTAATGCACATTTCATACATATTCTTGATCGATTAAAGGATCAATTTAAATATTAATTAATGGACAAACTTAGAAACAATAACTAGATTGTTACTATTTTTTAAGTCACATCAATTTAATAGTTTAGAATTCAGTGTCTGAAACAAGTGGCAATCTCATGCACAATACAAAAAGCTTAATTAAAATTGATTGGACAATTCAGAGTAATGTCTAATACTTAAAAATATTGGGAAGACAAGTATTTATCGATTTTCTCTTATTGAATTGTTGCAAATTGGATTTTGGATCCATTTAAGCAATCAAATATCCAGAATAGTGTACGATGTCCATTGTTTCCCTTTTATATCGTTGTTGTTCTTGAAAATGTTAGTCAACATTCACTCTAGCCAAAGTAATCACCAATTCATGTTGCAAAAAAAGAGATTATAAATAGTTTATATTAATTATGATCTAGTAATAATTCAATTACCACTTATTTTATTATTGAAACACGTAAATATTGGTACAAGGAAGCACCAGATGCATATGCGCCATACAAATCTCATTCGATTTGCGTGAGGGCTGTGATACTGCCCAGGTGCCCAAACTGAAGCAGGTGGTTTTCTTAGGGGACCACACGCGGAGCCTTTGACCGAAAGATCTGATCCACAAGGCAGTGGAACATCGTGGGGAGATGCAGTCCCATGGTAGCTGGTGATCAACGATTGATTCGTACGCCATTTGTTCCCTCAGGATACTGGAGCCCATGTGCACCATTGGTTTGGAATCAGGGTTTTCCAACTCCCCTAGGTGGACTCGCCTTGTCCACCAACCTGGTTAAAGCGCCGGACATTCGCTTTCCGTCCTCTCAATTTCGTAAACAACACCCCCGCCATGAGAAGGCAATGAGTAGGACTTCCCTGGCAGAGGCTGTATATTCGCGTGGCCATGTGAGAGCATTTCGAGAGGGAGAGCAGACTCTCCCCACTCTCGGCCGTACCAGGGCATTTGGGGGCAATAATTAAAGAAATACAGCCATTAAGTGAAACGCACAAACATACCGACCAGTATTGCGTGTCTTAATAAAGTGAATAAAATTTATGGGTCACACTAATATAATAGGATAATAATGTCTTTCGATTGGTAGGTCACATGCAACAGGGATGGTTTACAGACATATCAGATCAGATTGACGTGGTGGGAGCCTGAGCAACGATTTGATTGGTTAGTTATGGACATAACTAACAAGGTCTATACTCAACTTTGACACTTTATGTAAAACTTTAACACGTAGCTAAGATTATGTCAATTCCGAAGATCGATTCAAAGGATTTTTTTCTCCTGATACGAGACTTTTTAGAATATGCATGTAACCTTTCTGTTGAAAATGTAAATGCGGGATTTCTGTAAATAGATTTTGCATTTGTCAACTGTTATATAATAAGTGTAAAATCTTTATCCATTGAGAACATTATGACCAAGTTGTGGCTGACAAGGTGATGTATAAGTCTACATTTGCCTCACCTGCAGTTGATATTCCTCCTGGAAAAGACTGCATAACAATGATATCTAGAGCTTTAGACCTACCAAAGAGAGAGATTATAAGGTTTGACGGTAATCCCATGAACTATTAGAGTTTCATACGAAATTTCGAAGACTGTTTTGATGAAAGAGTTGGATTCCGATCTAGGTTAAACAATTTGATTTAGTATTGTGATGGTGAAGCTAAGGCTACCATTGTTCATTGTGCATTGCTTGAGCCAGAAGAAGGCTATCGTAAGGCGTTAGAACTTCTCGAGGAAGCATTTGGTCAGAAGCATATCGTGGCGCATGCATTTATTGATAAGATGCTGAATATACCTGCTATTAAGGGAACTGATCCAGATAGTTTAAGAAGACTGTCTCGAGAGATGCATGTTTGTGAGCTCACACTTACGCAGATGGACTATGTATCCGATCTTAATTCTACAAAGACCATCGAGTGTATGTTCTTAAAACTCCCACTGCATTTACAGAGAGAATGGGTTAAAGTTGCATCTAGGATTCTTAAGACAGGTAGAGAGCCTTTATTCAAGGACCTTTGTGAATTTGTGAAGGAGCAATCAGACATTGGTAATACTAGGTATGGATTACTTGTCAGTGGTGATCTTTCTAACCGCAACCAAAGGCAATCGGTTACCGTTACAAAAAAGCCCCTTGACTCAGAGTACAAAGCGAGAGTGTCGTTTGCTAACACGAGTGGATCCGATGTCTCCCCACACGTAGGACCAAGAACTCTTGGGTTATCATGTTTATAATGTACTGGGAACCATCCATTGGACCAATGTGAAAGGTTTAGAGATAAGGATGTTAGTGAAAGAATAGAATTTGTATTAAGGATGAAGTTATGTAATGTCTGTCTGAAGGCGAACCATATAGCAAGAAACTGTCGAGCACCAAGATCATGTACCGTCAAAGGATGTGGTTGGAAACACCATACCTTGTCACATAGGAAGCAGGGAGAACAGAGAGATAGCGATAGTGATGCTTGCATTAATACTCATTTCTGTACGGAGGGAAGTGTTAAGCGTATGCAGAGACCAGTAGCATTTGCAGTAGTGCCTGTATGGATAAAAAATGGTGAGATTATTCAGAATTGCGCCTTTCTAGATAGCGGATCAGATACCTCTCTCATTGCTGATGATCTGGATGATGAGTTAGGCCTCGAGGGAAAACCGAAAATGGTGTCTCTAAAGACTCTTAGTAATGAATCGTCATTGATATCCAAAGAGGTCGATGTAGAGTTGCACTCGATAGATTTCTCATCATCTGTTAAGGTGCTGAAAGTGTTGACTGTTAAAAAACTACAGGCAGTTTACAGGACTGTGCCAACGGTGCATCAAATGGCATCCTGGTCTCATTTAAAAGATACAAGTTTTTCGAGAGTAGAAGACGAGAATGTCAAACTGTTGATTGGGTGTAACGCACCGGGCGTACACGAGATAAAAGAGAAGAGAATGGGAAAATCTAATGAGCCATACGCTATAAAAACTGCTTTAGGGTGGACGTTGTTTGGACCTTACAGTGAGACCACGAGAAACATGAGCATCATAAATCACTTGTCGTTTAAAGATTAACCAGAAACCTGTAAAATGAAAGTACATTTGTCTGGTGCGATCTCATCACCAAGTCGCGCAACGTTTGCTCTACAAAAGACTATCCTATGTAACGAGGCTAGATTTCCTGAATGCATTATACAGACAGCGAAGGAAAAGTTCTACGTTGATGATTTATTAACCAGTGTTGATACGTTAGAAGAAGCTAAATTAGTATATTCTCAGCTGAAGGAAATGTTACGTTTAGAGGGTTTTAATCTAACCAAGTGGGCCAGCAACAATGTTGAATTAATGAAGTTTATTCCAGAGGAAGACCGCGTAGAAAGGAACGTAGATATTTGTTTATCTGTGAAAAGAAATGAAAGGATTCTAGGAAAAAAGTGGAATGTTCGAACGATATCTTCAGGGTGTGCAAGGTCGATGAGACTCCTGCAAGGAAAATCATTTTGTGCTGAAAGTGAAGACACCGAAAAAGCCAAAGGTCACTTTAACAAAGAAGTCAGTAAATAAGACCGTGAAGAAGCAGACAGCACATATTCGCCGTGGTATTGTACATGGTGTTCGGAAAGACGCCTTTGTGCGAGTTGTGAATAAGAGTAAGGATGGTTCTGATAAATTTAAAAAAGCCAATGCTAGTCGTAGACAGATTATGTGTAGTTGGAACCAGAATAAGATAGCAAATGCTCTTTTAGAAAGAGGGTTGTGAATGGCGTTTTAACCTTCCTAGAGCTAGCCATCGAGGCAGCGTGTGGGGACGTATTATAAAGTCGATAAGAAGGATTCTACGATCACTACTGTTTCAAAAGGTATTGACGGACGAGTCTTTGGAGATGTTTATAATAGAGGTTGAAGGGATAATGAACAAGCGACCACTCGTAAAGCCAGTTAATGACTGTGATAATTTGGATATATTCTCATCAAATAAGTTATTGTTAGTTCATAGAGGTGTGTCCCTCGAAAAAGCGCAGATGAGTAAAACGTGCTTATATGACAGAAGAAAAGGAGTGCAACAACTAACCAACCTATTTCGGAACAGGTGGTTAAGAGAGTACCTAACAACTCTTCTGACGAGATCCGAGTGGTTGGACATGAGAAACAATCGACAACCGGGAGATTCAATGTTAGTAAACAATACTGGCTCACCGAGAAATCCGTGGCCGAAAGCTATAGTTAGACAGGTCAATTATGGTCCAGATGGACGAGTCAAAACAGTTCGACTGAAGAGATCAGCCGGGACATACGGGATCTGTCTCTTTGGAGAAGCCGATTATATAGACGCGACAGTAGTGAAACTTGGACGTGGTGTCCACTTGGGGGGAGAATGTTAGTTATGTCCATAACTAACCAATCAAATCGTTGCTCAGGCTCCCACCACGTCAATCTGATCTGATATGTCTGTAAACCATCCCTGTTGCATGTGACCTACCAATCGAAAGACATTATTATCCTATTATATTAGTGTGACCCATAAATTTTATTCACTTTATTAAGACACGCAATACTGGTCGGTATGTTTGTGCGTTTCACTTAATGGCTGTATTTCTTTAATTATTGTACTAATCTGTTTTTATGTTTAGAAACAGATAAAGTTTAAAGCCAAGTTGCCCTTGTTCTGACTATAGCTTTCACATAGACTCTGGGATTGCCAGTATTGCGTTTACAGTTTTAATAGTATATCTGTAAGACAAAATAAATCCTACAGACCTGATAAACTGATCTGAACCATTATTCGTTTCCAGATGGAATGAACCACTTACATACTGATAAGCTTTAAAAATTTGGTCTATGAATTGTCTCGTATTCTTATTTTTCAACAGGAGAGAAGAATGAAGTGAAAGTTGTGAGATTTTAGTTACAATAGGATAGATACGTGAAATAAACGATCTGAATAGACTGTGTGAAACGATAAAATAGTATCAGTTAAAATAAATAGGAATTTTCAAATTTTTGTTCAGCTTAACCACGGTCTGTCTAATGTAAGCCTTACCTCAAAACATAGGCTATAATAACAAGAGACTGTATGGGTCTACAGATTTGATTATTCATTTTAGCTCCATGCCATTCTAGTCACCGGGGCAGTGATGATACAAAAAAACTTAGGTACAATTGTGTATAAGAAGATAGAAGAAAATATTTGCATGTCGAGAGGCTGCGTGTAAACTCCGAAAACAAACAGGTTGTTGGCAGCACGGTTTAGACTAAAATATATGACTTTATTGTAGATTTACGTCATATTCCAGTTTCCATCCCCTTTTTCACCTATGAAACTATGCATGTTGGAGTAAGCAGTTGATAAGCTTCAACAAAACGGGAAAATATGGGGGACTACTAATCAAAAAAATCTTTGTTATGTAATCATATTAGCCACCTTACCTCCTCAAAATCTCATTATTTATCGGTCATACAGATATATTAACTACATTTGCCTACAGGAATGATTATATTAGGTCTAATTTTGTTAAAATGTGTTGAAATGAATACTCGAATAGGATATTGTTTTAATACGTATATTTGTGGTGTAAACCAGTTCTGAACAACTGGGTTTTTAAAAGAATATGATTCAAAATATTACCGCCGCGATAAGCACTCTTCAAAGAACAATTACTTAGTCAAGCCATTTAAAAGAAAATATGCCTGAAGTGTATGTAATTTATGCAGTGAAGTCCCTAGCAAACAACAATGAACCGTCAGTGAAAATGGTTAGGAGCAATCTATTAAGGTCTGACAACCCGTCAAACTGGAGGCTTACGGTGAACTGATTAATTTCAAATATAAAATCAACAAAGACTTGATGAACGACATCATCAGTACAAACCTGAAGTATGTGCTGATGGTGTCGTTCAGAATAACTATGAAAGCTCCACGACCAAACCATCCAGCTCAGAGAACAAAACTCCACCAAAATAATATCAACAATCATGATGGACGAGGCTACTGTATAATTACGATTATTTGAAACGGTGAGCGGACAACACGGAGTAATTAACTGTACTGGTCTACCTGTTCATATCATTTTTGATGACAACTTTCTATATTTTTAATTTTTAATTAATTCCTCTTTCTGAGCTGCTAAAAATATGAATAAATGCATTAATATACCCATATATACTATCTGATAATTCCACTGAACACTCAGACCAATAGACCAACAGACAATATATACAAACAATAGATTCGATGTTACGACATCAGAGTAATGATTACTAGAGTAATTTCATCGTGGACTGACTTTAGCTAAACAACTAAAGAGAATCAGGAAGCACTGGACATTCATCTCGTCCTTAGAAATCACTTCTCAGGAGTACGTAACCGTAACTCTGTCCGGAATTAAGCTTCGAACCTTTAGTAATAGCTAACACCTTCAAAAACTATCTAGGGTATTGCTTTTGATAAAAATCACGGAAACGTACCTTTACACCAACGCTATTTGCAACAGAGAGTGGTTTTTTTGCAACCAAGGTTGTACGTTGTGGAGGAAGTGGGAACTTGAAGTTCGACTCATCACGGGTCGGTGAACCACCAATAGATGGGAAGTGAGATTTTGTTTTATTACGTTTGTGCTTTATTGATGCATCTAGGATGATGAAAGGCAAATATGGATAAAACATAACTGCATGTTGCAAGGTTTTGTAACTTTCATAACGAGATCTTAAAACGTGGTTATCCAGCAGTTCTGCCATTCCTGTAACCCTCAGTATGTACGAAGACGCGTGTGGTACTATAGCGTGGCTTTCTGCGTTTCACATTATCCCAGTATGGATTTCATAAATAGTCTGGATCGAACACCTTACAAAAGTATTGAGTTTATTTAGCTTATTCACCCGTATGAAGCTTAACCAATTTACTGCTTATTTTCAACCGAAGTACAAGACATACTCTTAAATATGGAAAGATTTATAAGTTCCTACGAAGCAACTTGACCATGAGAAAAATTAGATTATTATTTAAGACGCATCTTAATGTACGATCACTGTGAATCTTATCGTTTTGATATTGAATGAATGAGATACGAACACCATATTCCCAATGGTGGTGAGATTTGCTTTAATTTTAACTTTCGACACGACCTATGGGGGAAACAGTGATTGCTAGTTCTGGTGTTGTCATTTTATCTAAATGACTGATTCACTCGAGTGAACGATCTATAAAACTGGGATGGCTCAATCGTTTATGATAATCATAATTATTTTTGAGTCAATAAATTGTACATAAGTATGTCATTTTATTAGATAAAAATCTATTCTGGTTAGTGATCACTTGAATATCAATTCATTAAGATGAACGGGTTAATAATCCGGTATCATAAGCAACAATTGCTTCGCCAAACCATACTGTTGTATTCATTTATCAGCTGGCATTCAACGCACTAGTCTTAACAATTATAGACTTTGTTCACTTGTAAAATCCTTTACCGTAGGAGTATTTAAAGCAAGTTATCTTTTCAAAACATCAGAAATTTATAAATTCTAACAGTAAAAATAAAAACTACTAAAAGCATTTGTACTATTCTTTAAATTATATATGTCGACTTTGCATTTCATGTTGCAGGTAAATAGTCAAAAAATAGTGATTACCTAATCTGATGTTTGCAGAGGAATACATTTACGGGGAACTTATCAGGTTAATTCCATCAACACAAAAATGAGTAACGTTTCCCAAAACCAATTTGTGACGAGGACAGTGATGATGTAAAACCTATTCTAACTAACGCTTTCGGTGTTAACCTGCAAGGTATTTTACGCTGCCTATGACAAGCCTTACCTTGCATGACAAGCTGAAAATCCTGAACCACTCAGTTTCACATGTTTTGTAACACGGTAGTTAACTGATTGTCGATAGTTTGTTTTTCGGAACAAGTCTTGGTGTTTTATTGTATTACTGTTTACAGTATTCAGTATGTATGAGTCAGGCTACAGAAAGACATGTGTCACAAACATGCATCTTCATACTGTCTACTTGGTGTGTGAATTGAAGTTAGATTTATGGGAAGAATCAAGTGATACTTCCTTATGATAAGTGGAGCACGCTCTAAAAGATCCTAAACTTTTCAGTTCCAGGTAAAGCTAATGAAGTCGAAATCACTGTTGAGATATTCACGAGCAACAACTGTGGTACGATTCATGGATGAGCTAACTAATCATTTAATTAATACGATGAAGTATTTGGATATTTAAGTCAGTGAATGTTAAATTAAAAGCATTTGAACATCAAAATGAAACAAATTACCGCTGGTAGTGGATTTTGGTGGAAAATAAACTGATGTTTCGGATTCGAGAAAACCAGAAGGCAGACTAATGTCATCACCAGTATCATCAGATTTCTTTTTTTCTTGCATGTTTTCTTTAGCAGGAAGTGTACGACGAAAGTAACGACAAGACGGTCGATGTAAACGCTTTGGTCGATGACAAAGAACCTGGACCTGGTCAGGGCCATCCGCTGAGATTAACTTGTTAAGGTTTTTAACATATGGAATAAATTGTGCACCAATAGGTCCCGTCCGGTTAGTACTTGGAGACTCTAACCTAATGTTGAAGAATTAACATTCGAAGAGATCTCAGTATTAATTTTGGAAGAATAACAGAATAAATTACCTGATTAGAATAAATAGTGTCCTTTTTGTTGTAACAATTAAAGATATTGCCTAGATGCTTAACTAAAATCGAAAAATACATCCAACCCCATGATGTGTAAGGTGATCTGATAGTTTAGGCAAACTTAGCTAAGTAATGCAGATTAATTTTATGACGCGAACTTGAGCATGATATTAACATACTGCTTCGAAAACTTGTAATTTAAGTATGCTTTGAAAAACCCATTATAACGCAGTACTTATAGTTACCGTTTTTTAAATGAAGATCCGCGTTAAGTTGTAAAAAATAGGAAATTCGTTTACTATGAAAACCATGGAACAAAATCTGCTTACTTTTTATCAACTGTTAGTAAGGTTAATTGAAACTATTAATTTACAAAATTCCCGGAATACAAAGGATAATTAAAAACACTACTTTAGTTAAAAGGATTTAGGTAAACATTCCACATCATTTGTCTTGGTAGCACATTGGAAATAATAAATATGACACACTTGGGAAGTTAGGAGACTCAATACAGAAATAGGAACCATTCACTTATTACTACCATTGCTGACAGCTGAGAGCTTTTAGCTTCATAACTCTATATTACTTACGAGTATTCAATAATTATTTCTCTCTATGTATCTCATTAGTTGAACTAAATATCAACACTTTATTCTCTTATTAGTTGAAATATACTTCGCTTGAATAGCCATTCAAATTATCCATTGCTAACGTTTGACTGCATTGTGGTAGACTACTGTTAACTTTGGGTGTAAGCTTAACTTGAACTCATCATAGTTTGTTGTAGAACTATATATTATCTATATTTTATACATAAACATTTCCGGAAAGACAAGACGGTCTTTTGACTCAAATTGGTAGCGGGTGAGTTATTTAAGTGAATATGACAATAATAGCTAAGCATTACTATGAACAAAATAGCTGTAAGCAGTATGATACATACATGTTCCCTTTATTATTTGAATGTGACATATCCAACATGGAAGAATCCCTGTAAGTGGCATCATAATCAGCCAAATCATTGTGATTAATAGCATTTTTTACTGCTAAGGAAGCATCATAAATTTGTGATGGTGGGCTAAGGGAACCGATAGGGAAAACGCTGTTAGTTAGTGTTGTAGATTCGCTTTTAGATACTTCGCCTTCACATTGACTCTCATCAGGTGCTCCGGAAGGGGATTTGCGAACGTCTGTAACAGAAAAGGTTATTTTTGACCATAGTTAAGAAACGTTTATTTGTAGAAAAGAGAATTATAGGGATTAAAAGGCGGCGAACTTCATCACTAAGAAAGCAAGTGATTTAAGGTGTCGGGATTTAAACTTACCAAACAAGTCTAAATAAAACGACCAAGCTGCTAGCTTTTTAAAACATCACTTAGTATTTGCATTTACGAAGTAAAGCAAGAATATTTCACTGAAATGCTTATTGCATCAACCGCAAAATGCAAAAGATTAAGGTAGCTATGAGTTTGTTTGAAGTTTAACCAGCCCGAAGTAGGAAAAAGTTGATCTAAATAATAGCAAGAGGACTAGAATAAAGTTTACTAGGCAATCTGTAAACCATCGCATTCAAATCCCCTTTATTCATTGAACGATAGTGACGTAAATCGTAGAAACAATTCCTATGCACTATGCTGACTGATAGCAGGCACACTGAAGAATAGCATTATTCCACGGAACTACTGTCTGTAAACGCGCAAAGTGAGACGGAGGTCTACTCACTGATGATTATGGATAGAAATCTTAACAGAATTTAATCCATTTAATTGCAATAATTCAGACAAATCAATTGTCTTTTTATATGTTCTCAATCGTTAAAGCCATAGTTTTTGGTTTCATTCATTTCACTTGAATAACGTTCCTCATACTTAGTTTTCTATGGTAATTAACACCATTGATTTAACTCGTTATCTTTGGTCTTGCTTATTTGGCAGTCCGAAGTGTGATAACTTGGGATGAACATTTTTTTCAGGTCCCCAATAGTTTATAATTGATTGGCAGTAACCAATTACATAAACACGTTTCCCTCATACAAATAATAAGAGTGGGTATCTTACACAGCAAACAAGTACTTGAACGAAAATCCTGGTACCGAAGCTGGGAACCTAGTAACCAACCTTTTAAGTAAACCTTCACACATTGGGTAGTAGAACTTAACAATTAGTACGATAGTTTTTAGGATTTGATGGAGCAATCGAAGTAGATTTTGATATTTCTTGCTCGGTAAAAACCTGGTAGAATTTACGGTACAAACTGAGATGTTAAATTAGGACTGCTGGCTTTTATCTCAAAAATCTCAATGTGACATTCAGAGGAAATAATTAAGATGCTTACCTTTTGGTGTTATATTGTTAATGTTTTCTGAATCAGCGCTTTCAACATCGTTCGCCGGTACATATGGACGTTTTTTTACAGGCTGCTGAATATGACTATTCAAACTGGATTCCGACAAACCATCCGATATCGACGATGAAATCTAACAAAGATCGTACAAAATTTTTATGCATTACATATTTCAGAGTGAATGGACAACAAGAGATACTTAGCACATAACTGAGTAACAAATTAGCAAGAAGTATTTCAGAACAAAACGTGACTCTAAATAGGATATAAAATGGTAAGATGAAAACACTGTAGAGATACAAATATAACATTACGATATGGAACAATGGATTCGGCTGTATAGAAAGAAGCTTTAAGCAGAATGCTATACAAAGAATTATTTGCTTTCGTGATACTTTGATTTTCCTTAAGTTTTGGGCGAATTTGACGGTATATTCAGTCAGTCGGCGACAACGTAGGACCAGGCACATATATGCATCGGTCCAAGTTGCCTCACCTCATTAGCACAACAAGATGAACACCGGATTCATAGAAGTAGTTAATTTAGTGGTGGTAGTATATAAAGAAAGGTTGTATATAAGGATATAGTATAGGAAGGAAAAACGTTATGAAGCAATTTTAATCTCAAGGTTTAAGGGGAGATAGAGAGTGTATACACCTACGCCATTGTGATCGATTCTGAGCCATGTCACCCACAGTCTCCAACCATTGGTTACGATAGTCACGCGGACCCCAACCAGGTGGTCTGCATCTGCCGACATGGCTCAGACTAGAAGTTAGTGACATCAAGCACTGATGCCACGTTTTGGTTTGGCCGCCCCTAACTCTCTTCCAACGATCCCCTACACTAGTCAACATTGCGCGTCGTGGTAATTGGTGTTCAGGCATACGTAACACGTGGCCCAACCATCTCAGTCGATGAAGATTCATCACCTCATCAACTGATTTACCATCATTCCCAAATACCCTGCGTCTAATCTCACTATTACTTACCCGGTGATCCCAGCAGATGCGAGCAATATTTCTAAGGCATCTGTGGTCAAATACTAGTAACCTACGAGTATCTTCTACTCTTAATGGCCACGTTTTGCAGCCGTAAAGTAGAACAGAGCGAACTGCTGCGCAGTATATTTGTCCCTTAATTGATAGACGGATATCTTGTCTTCGCCATAAGTGACGTAAGTTGGCAAAAGCCAAACGAGCTTTTTGAATCTGTGCTGAGATTTTGTCAGACACCAACCTATTAGGGCTGATCAGACTTTCAAGATAAGTGAAGTTGTCCACGCGTTCGACTACTTCACTCCCTATCCTTAGTTCAGGTGTTGACGCAGGCCAGTCCTGGAGTAACAATTTACATTTGGATGGGGAGAAACGCATTCCAAACATCCTGGCATTATTACTCAGTTCTAACAGAAGACTCTGCATTTTGTCAGCGTCTTCACCAAACAGGACTATGTCATCTGCGTATTCTAAGTCGATAAGTGAACCTCCCCTGGTAGAAGATCAATTCCTGAAAATTCAGTCGACGAGAGTGTTATTTCCAGCAGCAGGTCTATAATGAAGTTAAACAAAAATGGGGGTAGTGGACAACCTTGTCGGACACCACTTGAGGTTGTAAAATCATATGACAGTTCGCCATAAGCTCCCACTCGACTGGTAGTGTTCGAGTAAAGAGCGTTCACAAGGTTTATGTACTTCTGAGATACACCTTTCAATGACAGACACTGCCACAGAACCTCTCGGTTTACAGAGTCAAATGCTGCTTTTAAGTCAAGAAAAACTATCATTGTCGGACGCCGATAAGCATGTCTGTGCTCTAAAACTTGACGAATGGTGAATATGTGGTCGATACAGCCACGACCAGGTCTGAAGCCAGCCTGATTTTCTCGTGTTTGCAGTTCACGAGTCTTAGTTAGGCGCCCGATAATTATTGAGGCTAGTATTTTAGATGCTATGTTAGTCAGACTAATCCCTCTATGGTTATCACAGGATGATTTTGGCCCCTTCTTATATATTGGGACAATCAGAGATTGTGACCAGTCAGATGGGATTACGTCCAACTCCCAGATTTTAGCCAGAATATTAGTCAACCTAATCGCTAAAATTGGACCACCATATTTAAAGACCTCTGGAGCCAATCCATCTGGACCAGCTACTCTTCCTCGTTTCAGATTACTTATAACCTTTTAAACTTCAAGTAGGATCGAGGGGCCTACTTCAATGTTCCACTCAGGTTTTCTGGGAATAGTGGGTATTTGTGCAGTAGCTGAAGGCCAGCTAAACTGCTCCTTAAAGTGTTCCGCCCATCGTTCTAAACGTTTGAGTTGAGAGCAGATAGGGGTTCCGTCTTTTTCCGAGATTGTCTCACTTACACTTGACTTCTTAATTCCGGTTTCTTTTATTAGTCTGAATAGTTGCCTGGTGTTGCCTACAGCCGCTGCCTTTTCCGCCTCATTTGCTTTCGTTGCTCACCACTGCTCACGATCGTTCCTTAGGCTTTTAGTTAACCTAGATCTAATTTGTTTACGCTCTTCGTCATGTTCAGAGTCTGATGGGATGAGTTTACGCGAATCCATCGGTGAAATAGACTTAGAAGAAATCCACTGGTTTTTTGGAGCCTTATGGTTTAAATAACGAATAGATGTTACTGCTGTTTCCACAGCTGTTCGTGTCTTTCCAAGCAGCATCTGGGTCAGTCTCGTTTACAGAACTGCCTAGATGTGAACTTAGTTGTTTCTGGAATTCGCATTTGGCTTTCTCGTCCTCCAGTTCAATCCTAATGGGTCTTCTTAGTGTACTTTTCCTGCGTCCATTGAGGGGCAGACAAATGCGCGCTCGTATTAAAGCGTGATCAGAGTCTAAACAAGTATTCCAATACGAGCGACAATCTTCTATTGAGCCTCTCCAACGATGACTGATGACAATATGGTCTATTTGAGTCCATCGTTGGTTTGGTGCAGGTGGTCGCCATGTTAGACGATGTCTCTCCTTATGCTTAAAATTAGTGCTTGCTAAAAATAAACGATTGTCTGAGCATAGTTGCAACAGACGATCACCATTATCGGTTCGTTGAGCCGGAATACTAAAACATCCACCTAAATGTCTTTGTTTGATTTAAGCTGCCTACCTGGGCATTAAAGTCACCCGCTACGACTACTATGTCTGAGCGCTTAGCTTTCTGAAGAAACTCAGAGAGTTTTCTGTAGAAGTCATCTTTTACTTCATCATGGCTGCAGTCAGTGGGAGCGTAGGCAGAAACGACGTGTGTCCCTATCCTTCCGAGTTCTTACGGAGCCATTTAGCCGGACAGCACACAGGTGACTGTTAACGGGGATCCATTCTAGTAGTGCCTGTTCTGCCCTTGCACTTAGTGCTATGCCTACACCTGCAAGTCCACGAGAACTAGTCATGGGGACGCCAGATACACGGAGGGTGCATTTCGTTCGCTCTCCATTTTGGCGAGGTGAGGTCAAGTGAATGACCACACTAGGATCCTGTATGCGTGTTTCGGAGACACAGCATACATCAATGGTACGAGATTCTAGGGTTTTAGCCAAGGAGGCCTGTTGACCGACTTGGCATAGGGTACGTACGTTGAAGGCTCCAATGTGTAGTTTGGAGCGAGGTTTTAGTAGACCTGGGACAGCGTTTCGCGCACTAGAATCGTTGGCCATGGTGACACTTGAGGAGGAAATCGAGAGAGGAAGTTTAGTGTTGAAAGTCAAGGTAGAAGGAATAGTGGGAAGTGAAGAAGGAGATTGATTATGAATACAGTGATCTTGAGTGCTGTTAGAGGTATGAGGGCAGTTATCACTTCCCGGTTGCCCACACCGTGGAAGGGTTCTTCTAGAGGTACCTGAAAAGGAAATTGGGTTAGAAGTGGTATTAATAACCTGAGAGCGTGACCGCAGTGCCCAACGGACAACTGCTTGAGGTCGGTCACACACGACCTTTTTGTGGGTAGTTTTTGTGTTAGCTCCGTTCTTCAAAGGACCTTACCGCCGGAGACGGATATCCGTGGGATAAGGCGAGGTGTGCATTTTTAGGGTCGACCTTTTCTAACCCCACCCCCCCCCTTGTGGGAAGGCAGCATCGCTGTCATGCTGGTTGTCTGAAGGAAACACCTTACTGCTGTCACACCTCTGTACAGTCAGCAGTACGACTTCGCCTTCGGACCTTGGGTTTGCTGCTTTTAGTCTCACCGCTCTTCAAACGACCTGTCTGGCATGGCAGGACCTTGAGGAACGATTGTTCCAGACAGTATAGCTCGATTGAATCATCACGATAGGCAAGCCCGATCACCACGTCAAGGTAGCAGCGACGGTATATTACCTGATCTTAAAAAACGTTACATGATATTACATGTTTAAAAACTATTTTAACCTCCCAACAGACATACTTTAGACGTAACTAGAAACACGACTGTTGTATGAAATGGGAATGACTTCATGTAACAAATAACTTGTTTATATACAGCTTTGAGCTAGACTTTACGTGAAGGCTTGTGAGATTATTTGACAGTACAAATTGAAGTACTTAGAAAGAGGACTGAAACTGCAAGCTGTAGATTGAAAAGAGATCGTTTCAACCACTGAGTCACCGGCCCATAGGAAGTGAACATTATACAAATTAGTACGATGAATCGTATCAAGATCACAAACAGATTGTGTACTTAACGGGACCCGAAAATCTGATAAAACTTGAGAAAACGCAAGTACTGCATTGACACAGTTGTTTTCATGAGTGTAAGTTGCTATGTAAAAGTAAGACTTTTAGAACACAGCCCATTGGATCTCAAGTAGCCACAAAATATCGACATAGCACGAGGAGGCGCAAAGAAATAAAGATAGCAACAGTTGTGAAGAATTAAAAATAGGAAACCGCAGGAACAATCAAAAACGAATAAGTTGAAAGAATGAAAAGTACGTCACAATATGTGTATATCAGGACAAGACTCTGACAAAATGCAGAATATTCTGACAGCCTTGATCAACAATGCACGTTCGAGACGCGTTTCTCAGATTTTAAATGCAAAATGTTTCAAAACTGGTCTCCATCAACCCGCGAAGTAGTGGTGAATAGAGTACCGAGGTGTACTTACCCTATAAGCTTCATCGAGACCGATGGCTTGCTGTCTGATGATGACTTGGTAAGGATTCAGAGAACTCTGTTGGTTTTCAACAGCTCTTGTTATTTGTGGTGAAGGCGAGATGTTTGTTCGTCAGCGTAAGCTTACTGAGCGACAGCCCGAGCTATATTACGTGGTTGTGATATAAGGTCCATGAAAGTAAAAGACATGCACAGAATGCTGGTTTTTAATTACAGGTATCTTACACGCACTGTTCGAGAATTTCGTAACGACCAAGTAGGCAATACTGTAGTTAAGCATAGGGTTTTGGGCAAATATGTTAGTTTGACTGTTTATCGACTCAAGTGATTGACTTATATTGTACGTATGCTTAATGATTGTTTACCTTGACGAACAGTCGTGGCTGGTGTAGGAGTATGCTAGAGCGAAGCTAGGGGTACAGTCAGTCAGTCAGTCACAACGTAGAACTTCGTACGTACGTACATCAGTTCGAGTTGCCATACCACATTAGCACAGAGATGCAGTTGTCGATTCAAATCCCATAGTGGTAGAAGTAGTAGGAGTATAATCAGAAATCCAAAGATTAGGGTTTGAAGAAATTATTGAAGGAGTATAGTACAGTGAAATAAATTTGGAAAGAGAAAAACATAAACACATAAGGAATTCAGAAGATTAGAATTTGGTAGAACACAAAGAGTGGATGCATCTTCGCCATTGCAAACGATTTTGAACCATGTCATTCAAGGTCTCTAACCATCGGTTGCTGTCATCTCGCGAATCCCAACCAACTAGTCTACACCTACCAACATAGCCCAGTCCACTTGTCAGTGACTTCATAGATTTGTGCCACGTTTCGGTCTGGCCACCCCTAGCTTTCTTCCAACCTACTCCTACACCATGAAACATTGCACGTCGGGGCAGTCGGTGGTTGGGCATACGTAACACATGTCCCAGCCATCTCAACTGAAGTTTCACTACTTCATCAATCGATTTGCCATCCCTACCTAGTACTCGTTTCCTAACAACTGCATTACTTACCCGGTGGTCCCAGGATATACGAGCAATGCTTCGAAGCTAGGGGTACCCAAGCCGACATACCGGGAGTTCCAGAAATCCGAGCAAACACTGAGATTGTTCGTTGATGTTGAGCAACATGACTCAGAGTAAGTCACTTATCCAGACGCATTCACTTCCATTCTTCCTCTAAATATTGGGTCCCAGTATTCTTTTTATACACTACTTTTTCTATAGAACCGTACCGTATTGTCATTAATGATGCAATAATTGACTTTTTGGATGTTTAGAGCTCTAATTTTATCCAATCATTTAGATAATGTATGGAAACTTGGCCTAAAGCACGTTAGTGCTAGGTTTTAAAACAATTGTGACTAGCTAACTGATCAGACACTAAGCCGTGCAACATGAATCAAAACTCACTATCGAGATCGAAAATAAACCTGACGTAATAAACAATTAGTAACATATACAAAACACATGTAGTGGTTCCTCTCATAAACCTGCTAAACTAGATAACTTACTGTCATAAGCGGGCGTTTGTTTGTTGAGTTAAAGACAGCGTCTCCTACTAAAGTGTTTCTAGCCTTGATAGAATCCCTTGAGCAATTAGAACACACACCTCGCCCAGTCGAGAAGCTTTGCAATTGATGGCCTAAAAATGTTTTGAACAATGCTAACTGAAGCTTACGTAACCCATATATTTCAATTTCTTTTCCTTTTATCATTTCCTCCATCTGCTGCAAAGTTCTGTGAAAAATCAGCTAAAATAATAGCCCTACCGGACGAGAGCTTTATTTTGTTCACGTAAGCGAGACACTTCATTACTAAATTCTATAGAAAATATGAACAATTTACTGTTAATGACTTACCGCTCTGCACACATCGGAACTGTCGTCGTATTTCTAGAGGGAATGTTACTGAAGTATATGCGACCTACTAGAAACAGAGGCCGATATCTCTCTTGAGACTGATCGCCTCAAATTAACCAGCGAACTACTGAACATATATTCGACAGATAGAAGATTGTTCGAGTCCATCACCGTATCGAGCGCCTTGACTACTTATTCTGCATAACCGATGCTAACTAACCACATATTACCAACATGGAAGCGCTTCGATTCAATCTTCAATATTAAGCATAGGATGTTTGGTAGCTAACATAACCTCCTTATTTTAAAATACCCCGAGTCAAATTGCCTCAAGTATCTCCATAAATAATGCTAATACCATTAGATATAGATGAGAATTTCATTCGTACCGGCTAAACTGGTGTACCTTGACGCCTTAATCGTACCAAACACAGCCTCTTAATTAATGTAGCCTATTTTTTTAGTGGACCAATGTAGGGCGAAGTTACTGATCGTCAACGAGGAGAAATCTGTTATGTTGTTAGCTGTTACTATGCCCATGCTTCCCTGAACCAAATGAAGTTACAAATCACAAAACTCTGTTTCACTGTAAATCGTCTTGAAGTTTCCTCCAAATCAGTTGAGATTACGTAAAATAACAAAAACTTTTAATCTAACGGGTTCGGATTCATGTGAAACCTTCGGACCTCTTGGAAAACTTTATCAGTGGCTGCTTGTGGTAACTCCATAAAATGAATGGTTTACAAGCATTCAGTACTTATACTGGCCATTTTAGTTTTGACGGAAGTTGCTAACTGAAAGCACATTGTCAAGTACAGCCGTCAAATGGCTGCAAGACCTTACACAAAACTTCTCTCCGATATTGGATAGCCAGTTTGCAAGTCTCAAGCTCCCCTACCTCTGCGTACTATCAAATATACCTTTTCTCCTTAACGTCATAACTTTCTTTCTTGTCAGTCTTTGATTCCAAATTGTAAAAAATATGTACTTGAGTACTAGCATTTTTCCCACCAATAAACTTGGATAGATTTAATCCAGTTCCGGTCCTCTTACTTTATTATGTTTACATGGTAAATCCCGATTGATGACTCATTGAAAGATTACTGGATCTAACCTACATTCAATATGAATTCGCTCCCCGATGTGTAGCTGTGTCCAAATTAGTCCGATAATGGTATGATCACGTTACTTAACTTTCCTATCTAATTACAGCACGTGGTTCTCTGGCTTCAATTCATTTTCTCTTGCAGTCAGATGCATATCTCCATCTAACTTTCAGATGTCTGTAATAATCTACTTTTATGAAGAGAACGCGATCGGTGTAATGGAAACATTTATTACTATAATCAAATGTACCAGTGACTGTTTTAATGTTCACCCAGATCAAAACACACTCAACAGCTGACCTATTAATGCAAATGTTTCACTTAAAAAATGAGGCTATATTTTCATCCGATGCTGTATGTATAATTTTCCCCTGGAAATTAGGCCAGCTTTTGACCAGCAGCACGCACTCATTAGTACCTCTCACTTTACATCTGACCATGAACTGATTTCTGACTCTCAAGACCGATCGAGATGCGTCTAGAACTCAATTAAACCATAAATAATTTTTTATGTAAAAATAGCAGTAATATTCACAACATATCATCAGATGACCTGTGATTTCTACAGCACATTCTGAATAGCATGAAGCTGGAAGAAGCAGATACACATTGGCCCTTCGAATATTATATGTCCAGTGTCCTGAAAATGGTCCCTAAAACGACTTTATATTCCCAGTAAAAAACATTCCCAAAGACCGTGTTAAGTATTTGAAAGATTGTAAATGCTATACTGTTAATAATGCGTAGAAATCTCAATTGCAAGTTTTCTGACGAAGGCATATAACTGATGTCCTGGAAACTAGTAAAGATACCACCAGTATTGTAGTATGACAACTCTTTACCAGTAACACCTATAATCAAATCGTGCCCACCCAGTTAAAATCAGAAGTCAGAAGCGAAGAGGTTGGAAGATATGTTTGATGGGTAATCAATATGTCGATGAGCGATTGATCTAATATGGCCAATGATCGTAGGAGATGTTGGTGGCTCCGGTGGGGAATTATTTACAGCTACACTAGCTGACTGGAAAACAAATCAGCATTCTGTCTGGGTTAATGTGAAATATGATTCATCCGTAAATTTATCACACTTAACAGACAAACAAATTACTATCCATATGGCCATCACACGATGGCTGACGAGTTGACTGCCTTAGGGAGTAAAAGAAATCAAACTGAGTGAGGTTCCCAGATTGCCGTTGGTTAAACGAAGGACTGAATAACGTAAAAGACGATGACTGCACACCACTATCTGGAGGTCATTGTCAGCGTTCGTTAAGCACCGACTCTATTGAAATATTTTGAAGTTCGGACCCCCTCGATTCCTCCCTAAAGAATCATAGTCTCGTCTTAGTTGATCGTGATTGCCACACTGCGGAGCGTGGAGGGATACATTGAGCAAAAACAAAAATTTTCCCTACAGTAATAAAAACTAAAAGTTCCTACTTATTCAGCATTCGTTTTGTAACTGTGAAATATTATTCAGTTTTATTTGGCGTTTCGGTTTATACAGTTGTTCCAGCTACCATTATTCTCGTTAAGACTGCTATTTCACCTCGTATATTATACCTAGACCAATTCTTTGTGTGAGACCGCAGAAACAAGAAGCCGACAACGGATTGAGTTGGATGAATTAATTTATAATTGTCCTTAACTTAGACAGATATTAAGAATGACAAGCGGAAGTCAAAACTTGACGGGGATTGCAAGCGTGTCAACTCCATTTAGTGGAACATGATTCGCCATTTGTGGCCAGGAAAAAAGCAGGACATAGAGATGTAATGAATATGGTAAGATATACACATATATGCTCGTATAAAAACAGCTAAGGATATGGAAGAATAATAAACAAGTTCAAAATGTGACTCAAGAAGAATAAATCGATTGATCTGCCAGGAATTTATAAAAGCCCATATTTCCCGAATATAGCACTAAATACTACAAACGCACGAATCTGTGCTGCAAAGACAATAGACCTGATCCAAAATTGTAGAATTGACATGAAGCGACTACCTAATGTTACTTATAAATTATATCACCTTCTGTACTAACTTGTCCTCTCGTGACAATCAAAAGTTATTTGCAAAAACCTTCAAAGAATACATTTCGTCTGGTGATAGAACAACATATTGATATGAAGACCAAAGAGTTATATTGAGTGAGCATGACTGAGTGGTCGAAGCTTGCTGAGGAAATTAAGTGCTCCCCTGCTGTCATATAGTGCATAACTGTTAATGTAGGCCTGCCCAGTTACTGTGTGTTCAGCTTCACGGATTGTACGGCTAGGAACCAATATCAATGCGAATTAATATTCCTAGTTTAGCTAGAAACTTAGTTTTCCTCACGAACTGATTAGAGAAAGTTAAGGAAGCCGAAAAGAATTTGATACACAAGCTGGCGAAAATGTCATTGTTTGATGGAAACGATGATGGTTTTTAGAACACGTACGATAATAAAAATACTGTTAAAAGACTGTAATCGTTAATAAAAATGAGTAATGGTCTGATTTTAGGTCAAAAATGGGCATGATATGCAGCAATTAGCAGATTTACAATTAAAACGAAGTAAAGGTTTAATGGCACAGTGAATATATACACGGTGAACCTGTATAAAAACACATTTTGTTCTCAAACGTTGTAACGATGACAGCGACTAGATACCCTGCGACGTGAATAGAAGGGCTCAAAGGTCAATAGTAAGGTATTCAACGGACCATGGACACTGAAAATATGTGTTGGCTTGCACGTGCGGTTCATACAAATTCAGGTGGACAGGGATCAACACAACAGGAATGAACTTTCGAGGGATATAGATAGTAATCTGAGGACCTATCCTGATCCGGGTACACCATAATTTCATCGGTCAGCCGATAACTTTTTGGTACAGAGTGGGTGCAATACGTTATGAAACATTGCTATTCGGTGGCAGCACGTTAATATTGGTTTCCCATCAGGGTAAATTTGAGTTCTTGGGATAACACCATTTATCGTGTTCACAACAGTTTTGGTTGAGGCTTCATTCGGAATGACATGCATTACGTTCCTAAAAACTCCAGAGATTGTGTACCAGGGACGTTTTAAGGTAAAAATACTTGGAACGTGGGAGGGACTGAATTAATTCAACTGAAAGATATTGGATGTGCGGATTTCGTGCCAGTTCATTTAAAATTCCATCAGAGACAAAACTGTAGGCGAACATGTGTTTTAAAGAGAAAGAATCGACTAGGAGAGCCGAAATAAACAGGGATGAACTCCACATTCTTCAAGACATCTAACTGTATCGTAGTCAGTAATTACGGTCATACATTCGTTTACTTAGCCACCTAATTGTAGTTATTCTGGATTAATTTTTATCATATATATTTAATTGGAGGGGTGACGTTTAAAATTTTTAATTTTCTTCTTCATGACTGAGTGGGCTACAATTGACACATCTACGACATAGTGTTATTTTAATAATAGAAAACCTTCTGGTATTCATAGTTATTTGCTAGTAAACCTCTCGTGAATTCCGCAAGTGGCAAGTGCCTAATTTATTTTCGACATTTGGGGTTTGAACAAAGAAGAGGTATTAAAAGCAAATATAATGGAATGAAGGGGCTATGTAATGATAATAATATATTTCTGACATAGTAGATACGTTGTTTTCGCAGGTGTGGTCAGAAGGTTACAACATTGGCTTACAGACAAGTTACTTCACCTGGTAGGGTTATAAAATAGAAGAGATCAATGCAAATAAATGGCAGAAAACTCGTGCAGATGTGCCGGCGAGTTAATAATTAGGTTTATATGTTAGTACAGTCCATCAAGTTCACAGTTATTATCATCTACTCAAAAATGGTTCTGCATCCAGGCTGTGACCTTGGCAAACACACATATGATGCGAACTTCGCATTTGCGTGTTGGAATTTCGGTGCTCCTAAGTATTAATAGAATACAGCTGTTTAATAAGTTTATAGATATTATAAAGTAACTATTGAAAGATGCTTGGTATAGTCCATGATCTTGACAAACATGTACGTTAGGTTTGTGTTCCAGGCACAAGAAGGACCCCCATAGTTGTGCACTGTTAACGGAGTGTTGGAAAAGAGGAACAAAATAGCAGCGAGGCATTTGGATATAAGACATTACCAATACCTGAACGTTTGTAGGTGAACACGTAAAGGTGTTTTTTATCAGGTAAAACTCATACTATTGTGGCGTGTGCTACTCATATCGACATAAGTGGTATATATCGTGAGTCAGGAGTTGAAAATCTGGCAGCGGAAGATTGAGAGG